AGGGGCATAAGTGGGTGGGTGACTCATTCAGAGTGTCTGGAGGGGGAATGTGGTCTGGCTGGAGAAGGGATCGCTGTTCAGCCTCCTGAACTTGGAACCTATTCCTCTGAGGCCCCTTGAAGTCCAATCCTGGGTCATGAGGCCCCTGGGGTGAGAATGGTGATGAAGGCTGATGAACTACTGGCCCAGTTCACCTCCGGAAGCAGACTTCTGAGCTGCCAGCTGAGGCTGAAGTAAGGTTCTGGCTGGCTTGGGAGCAGTCCCATGAGCTTTTCTGCTTATGGGATCAACTGGGTCCCCATTCCTGCCTTCAAGTCTCTCCCAGAACCCTGAGAGTCACTGCCAAGTCACCGGGACAACTGGAGCTGGGAATCTCGGGAAAGGGCCCCCGTAATGGTTTGGCAACCTAACATACAAGAAATCAGTGCTGACTTGCAATTTCCTTGAGCAAGGGTGAGAGAGAGAGAGAGAGAGAGAGAGAGAGAGAGAGAGAGAGAGAGAGAGAGAGCATGCTTTGTGGAACCAGCCCCCAGCACATACACAGACCAGCCTGGCATCCCGTACACTGCTCTGGTCTCACCATGAAGATGCAGGAACCTCTCCAAGGTATCAAGGGTCCTAATTTTGCCCTTACTGCAACAGTAACCATAACTCAGAGAGTAAGAGCAAGAGGTAATCTCAAATGAAGGGGTCTGGCTATCGTGAGAGATAGCAGGTGAGCCGGGGAGTCAATGGGGCTTTCATTCTTGGTCCTCCATGTGCAAGGAGGAGGAGGAACAGGATAGAGCTGGGGAGGGTCAAGTGAGCAGAGGTAAGCAGGAACACCTGCTGCATCCAAAGGATGCACAAGCATACCTCAGAGATACGGCCGGTGGAGTTTCGGACCACTGTGATAAAGTGAATACTGCAATAACGTGAGCCACATGCATTTTTTTGGTTTCCCAGTGCATATAAAAGTTATGTGTACACTATACTGTAGTCTATTATATGTGCAATAGCATCATGTAAAAAAAACAACAACCCCACAATGTATGCACCTTAATGAAAAATACTTGAGTGCTACAAATGCTGTTATCTGAGCCTGTTGGGAAAATGGCGCCAGTAGACTTGCTTGGCACAGTGTTGTCACAAACCTTCAGTTTGTAAACACGTCAGGCACATCTGCCACCATCACCTCCAGCACTTGGAGGTCAGGGCTCAGAGAGGTCAAGAGGCAAAGCCTGGCTGGAGCAACAGAGAAAACAGCCTGGGGACCTGAGGCTTGAGGATGTGGGTGTGGGGTCTTAGGAAGTCAGGGCGGAGGCAGGGCTGCACCAGTCACACCCAGGACGGAGGCCTGATTTGACCCTGAATCTTGGCCTTGTCAGGCTCCCAGGCCCTCTGGGCCACCCCCATGCCTGGCCCAGCTCCCCACCGGCCTCACTTCATCCTGGTGGAGAGCTTTCTCCAGAACCCTTGTTTGAAGTTCCAAGTCAGGCAGCCCCACCCTAACATGAAATCTGAGACTGGGGGTAAAGCCCTCAGCCTCCCGCTGCTCTGAAAGTCACTGCAACTTCCAACTAGTAGTGAAATACATCAGACTGGTTTCCTACCCATTCTTTAAGGCCTTGGCCCAGCCTGCCTCCTCCATGAAGACCCCCAGAGCTTCCCAGCCTGCTATGATCACTGTTTCTCCACCACCACCACCACCAGAACTGCACAGAGGCAAGAAACTCCTTGAGCCTTTAGGTCCTTTCCTTCCAAGGTGGCACACAATGCATCTTGGTTTGTGCTGTCCCCATGTGTTTTTCCCTCCTGGGCTGTAAGCTCCTTGAGGGCAGGGACCATGCCTTACACGTCTCTGTATCGCCAACAACATCAAGCCCAGAGCCTGGCACATATAAGGCATTTAGTAAAGGCAAATCAGTTGAGTGAATAACCGACACAAGGACAGGGCCAGAGAGACACTCCCTTTTTTTGAAAACCAAGCCTATTCCCTCAGAAAAAAATGAAGTGAGAGTGGGAGGCACAGAAAAGAGGGGGTAGACAGCCAACATTTATTTAGTGCTTATTTATTATTTATTTAGTGTATGTTAAGCTCTAATAAGTGTTTTATATATGTTCTCATATTTCATTCTTACCACCAACTCCACGGACAGACATATCATCAGTTCCATTTTACAGGTGAGAAAAGCGAAGTTCACAGATGCTAATTAACATTCTCAAGGTGGGACAGCTAATGAGTTGTGGGCCCAGGATTGATGGCTAGGTCTGCCGGCCTCTAAAGCCCACTCTCTGTCCACTTAGCATCATGTCCACCCCAAGGCCAGAAAGAAAGATGACAGCCAACTTTGTGGTTTACCCACAGCCCAGCAGGGTAAAAAAGGACAGAGGGATTTGGTTCCTCCTCCTCCCACAGGAAGGGGCTCCTATTCCCAAATTTGTTGTTGTCCATTCACCCAGACATGGGTCTCCAGGGTCAGGGCTTGAGCAACCTGCCCCAAACCCCTTGTGCCACACACAGGCACTCCTAGAACTCTAGGAACTGTGCCACTGACTGGCTAGTCAGAGACAGGCTGAAGTCAGAGGCAGGAAGTCGAGGAAAGGTTCTGATATCTTATGCCCTGTGTGTTCTCTTGTTCCAGGCAGCCTGTTCAGGGTCATCCAATCAGGCAAACAGCCCAAGTGCTTGGCCATCTGGTCACTCCAGGGGCAGGACCCCTCTGGGCCCAGCAAGAGGAGTGAAGAGGTTACACAGGGTCTTCATGGACAAAGAACACTCTCTCTCTCTCTCTCTCTCTCTCTCTCTCTCTCTNGATTGATTGTTTTTCTACTACATATTTTCTATACATTACTTCTCCTTTCATACTTTCCATTGGACATATCAAGTTTCTTCTTGTATGAAATTTAAGAGGTTACACAGGGTCTTCCTCTCTCTCTCTCTCTCTCTCTCTCTCTCTCTCTCTGACCTCGGCTAATAACCCTCCAGTGTCTTTGGACTGAGAGAGCTGATATACAGTGTCTGAGTTTTCTGTATTTCCCCCTTTCCTTCAAACTTGGTCTTGGTGAGAGCCCCTGGCACACAGGGACCGTAGGTAAGTCCCCCTCCTGCACTGGCTTCTCTGACTTTGACAGCTGTCTCCTCTGTTCCAGAAAGCTGCTGCGCTGGTGGGGACCCCGGGACACGCTGGGAGCAAGATCTCAGAGGATCCCTTTCTTCTTCCACTTGGGCGGGGTGGGGGCCTCAGGAAACCTGCTCCTTGGAGATGCAGGCCACCTCATACCAGGGAGACAGATGTGCAGTCTCAGGGCAGCCCAGACAGACAGGCTGGAAAACACCAATGTCCCGGAGCTGGAGACCAGCGAGAAGGGAAAAGTGCACACACGCGCACACACACACACACACACACACACACACACTCACGGGAGTTTGGCCAGAAAACTTTCCTGCAGGAGGAAAAGCCTCCTTGGCCGCAGGTTTCTCTCCGGACCCAGGGGGCTTTCCCCAGGAATCCTCTGGGAAGACAAGAGGCAGCGGCTTCCACAAACAGCGCAAAAGTTCAGTCCTAAAAGTCCCCCAAACTTCCCCTCCCTCTTTCCCTCCTTCTTTTGTTCCCCACTGCATTGCCAACCAGGCAGCTCCCGGCTTCCCACACCGGACCGTCCTCCCCCCCACCCCGAATCCCCGGCCGTCCGCGCCTCCCAGCCAGGCCTGCCCGCGCCTGGCCCTCGCGTCGGGCCGGCCGCGGGGTACCGGGTGCCTACCCGCCTTGCAGGGGTCTTTGTAGTTGAGGGGCTCCGCGTCGTCTTCCTCGCCCAGGTCATAGGTGTAGTCGGCCAAGTCCAGCGCGCGGCCGGGGCGCGGGAGCAGCAGCAGCCCCAGCAGCAGCGGCAGCTGCAGGCGGGCCACGGCGGGCATGCTGGCGGCGGCGGCGGCGGTGGCAGCGGCGGGTCGCGCCCGGACGCGGGAGCGGGCGAGGGGAAGCGGAGCGCTGAAGGCGAGGGGGAGGCGCTCCCCTCCCCGCCC